GTATAAAAATATTTTACTAATTTAGTCTTAAAGCTAAAAAAGAAAAAAAGGAAAAAAAAAAAACAATTATAAAAACTTTAATTATTTATTTGTATTTAAAATTGCAAACTTTGTATGATTTAAGCCACGATCAATGCGATCTATTCTGAATTTAGTTATATGATTTGTTAAAGTGAAACAAAATGCGTGTATTTTATGTATGCTTCTTGTGTGAAATGTATTACAGTGTATCAGAGATGAGCAACAGCGCTTGCTGTGAATGAAAGTATGAAAAAATGTGAAAAAAAAACAAACAAAAACAAAAAACAAAAGAAATATTAATTATATAAATAGAAAACCCAATAAAAATGATAATGCTACGATCTTAAGATATGAGTTGGCCAACTTTTCTTTTCTTATATTGTGGATATTCCAGTTGATCCATTATGAATGTGGGTCAACAATTTGGCTGCGGTTGCCTGGTCACAGTGGCTGCGCTGCCCTTGTCGCTGTCAGGGTCAAGTCGACTGCGCGGGGGGTGGTGCTAGCTCACCTTTCACAATCGAAAAGCAGAGCGTTTAATTAACCAACAGTTAAGTGTTAACTTACTAATTAGTAATTTGTTTTTTTAACGCAGACACGCTTCGCAAAACGTCTGCCGTAATGCGACTGCTGCGCTGCTGCTGCTGCGACTGCGGCTGCTCCACAAGTTACAGTTAGGTGCCGTTGACCTTGGCTCCTAAAAGGTAATGGGTCAGCAGCTAAAGTAGCCACAGTTGCAGCAAAGTTGCAGCAGAAGTTGCAATTACAACATTTGTAGCAGTAAAAGCTGCGCSTCTCTGCTGCTGCGGCTGCTGCTGCTGCTGATGCTGCACTTCCGCCATACACTCTGAGAAATCGGTGAGCTAAAGTATGAGAATGCATAACATGTTGAGCTATACTTACAGAAAAGAAGGGAACTTATATCTAGAGAATGACTTGGTTTGACTATACTGTGATTACATTGCAAATGGGACTACAGGGTTTGGTTTAATGTAGAGTTACAGTAATAGTCAGAATATGATTGATCTTAGATCGTAGGCGATATGGAGTCCTATAGGTATATATAAGTATTTACTCTGCTTACTCTTGACAAAATCATATCTCTATCTAGCTTGAATTCAGCTTCAGTTAGCTTCAAGATATAGAATTCAAACTGATCTAAACTAACTAAAGTGTTTTTGCCATAAGAAAAAAAATTAAAATATTTTTTCACATATATATTTCACTCTCCATTAGCTTATGCCCCTGAGCCGAATAGTTCTCCCGCAATTTAAGTACCCTTCTATAAGCTCAGTGTAATTTCCAACGGTCGAATTGCAATGAAAGTAAGGCAACGCATGCAGCTAAAGCTATTACCAGAGCTGGCTGCCAGTCAACACTCTGGCTGGGTCTCTGGTTGGGTCGCTGGCCAGGTCGCCAGATAGGCTAACTGGCAGCTTCTTTCACAACAATCTGCCCATGGCTTGGGCCAGTGGCTGGTGGCTCTCAGCTTCTAAGCTCTGCCTGGCAGCTTGGCTGGCAAAACTCTATAAAGATTTGCGCTAGCCGCGCTTGGCTTCACACCTGCCCGTAACGCGAAGAGCTGCAAACCAAAGGCTTGGCTATCGGAACTTGGGCATACGAGATAGGCTATATACCTCATACGATATACGATATACGCTAGGCGCTACTCGGAGTTCGTTTATAAAGGAGGGCCTCTTATGTAATATTGAGCAACGCTGCTGTGGCCCGGCCGCTGATTCTATTTGGCAAGTTGCACTTGAGTGATTTTTCGGGCTTCCAAAAAAACGAAAAAATAAACGGAAAAACTAACAAAAGTTTGGCCGAGACGTGCAGCATGTAAAGCACGACGTAGATAGATAAATGGCATAAATGGTGTAGAAAACATCGGGCCACACATAACTGCATAACAAAATCGCGCAATATCCCAAAAGTCAAACAAGAGCAACAGACGCAGAAGGAGAAGGAGAAGCAGACGAAGTAGAAGAAGAAAACGAGGAGAGGAGTTAAACCCAAAACCAACCCAGTCACACGCACAAGTGTTTTGTTAACGCTTTCGGCATTATTTTGGGCACGGCTCGTCAACTTTTATAGGATTTGGTTAAATGTGAGGCAAAAAAGCAAAAAAACTGAAAATGGGCCAAGTTTTTCCATGTCAGTTGGTCAAAGTGCGTGCCAAGTGAGTGAACGTGTGCGTGAGTGAGTTAACTGTTGTAAAAATCATTAACAAATCTTTGGGCGCTAAGCAAAACGAATTAAAACTTGGAGCAGGTCAGTGTTTGGCCAGCTAAAAAAAAAAAATAGACACAAAGAGAATTGTGCAAATAAAACGTGATTAAACGTGAACGGAAGTTGAAGACAGAGACGAGCAGACGAGGTTTCATACTTCGAGTAGGTGAGTTCTGCACTAAAAATATGGTTATTAAAATATCCAATAATTTTGCCTTATATTCGACTATAAAAGTCAATCGTTAAATAATATGAACTTGATTTGATTGAAGTCTTAAATTCAAGTATAGAATTTGTACTTAATTAAAGAGTTTTCCTATTTATTTATTTTTAATAATAAAATTTAAAAAATTAATAATTAAAGTAAACGATTCTAGCCATGAATTATCAAATAGTCAATTTTAATATATTTTATTTTAAAAGTAAAATAGTTAAACAAAAAATCGAAAATTGTGCATAAGTAATAAAAAGGGAATTCAATATTAGTTAGAATAATATAATATTAATAGAAATAATATTAAATACATATTCATTTCTTTGAATTCACAAATTGCCAAATTTGTTTAGTAAAATATATTGATTTCGTTAACGTGATTGAGAAATATATATTTTAGGCTATTCTCTAGCTATATCATATTACGTCTTTGCCTCTTATCAGAAGCTGAGCAAGTGCACAGCCAGAGAATTCACAGTAATTATAATACCCTTGCTTTGCTTAAATATCAAGCCCAATCTTGCTTCTAATAACCCACGCAGTTATTCTATGTTCTTCATTTTCATTATTATCTAACTAAAAGCACACATTAACTCTAAGTTGCGGTCAATAAACTTGGAGATAAAAGAAACAAAAACAAAAACTGTCAACTGTCAAACGGTTCATGTTAAACTCGTGCTGTAGCCATAATGTGCAGATACCGTTAACATTGCTAACATTGTAGGTGAATGCGTGGTAAGAAAAACAAAGCTCGAACGGCTGGCTCAAGGTCAGGCAACAACAATTAAATATAATTACACGGCGGCGGCTGTGGAGGCGAAGTACGAGCTGAGCATTAAAGAACAGCAATGCGAACATAAAAAAATAAATATATATATATAAATAAAGGTAAAAAATATAAAAAATAATGAAAGCCAAAAACCGAAACCGAAACCACGAAAAAAAAAAAAAGAAAAACAACAAAAACACTATTGCATAACAGATGTAAAACCAAAGCGAACCCCGAATCAGCAAATAAACAAAACAAACAACGAGCAGCAGAAGCCAAACCTAAAGTAATTATAACAAGAAAGAAGAGTCTAGCCAGCTCTGCAGGCAGACCAAAGATGAAATGCCCTAGCAGGCTGATGGAAAAAAATAATTATAATTTAATATTGAGAAATTACTGATAGTTCAGTAAAGAAATATTTTTGTTAGCCGTTGTTTAGAGACGGCATATGATATGATCTAAAATGTGATAGGATATGGAATGGTACGCATAGTTGAGGATGTTTTATAGATAGCATATGATATAATATACAATTTTATGAAAGGATGGTATATTAACAGAAAAATCGAGGTATAATAAGATATTTTTAAATGCAATATATTTTCTAAATATATGTATACTATATATA